CTCTGCTTCCTCTCTTCTCCAGCATTACCCCCTGCCGGCTGTGTTGTCCACAGCCATGAGGGTACTTTCTCATCAGCCTGACCTCCTTCTCTGTGTCTGGCTTCCTCCTCGGCTCCTCCTTTACACGAGGTTCACCAGTGGTCTTTCCATTGAGGAGATGTGTACTGAGCAGCTGCTATTAGCCATGCATGTTCTGGATCCTCCAGGTCAGCTGGATGTTTCCTTCTGCAGTCCCTCCCATCCTCCTCTGGGGTGTGGCACATAGATTTCACATTCCCTCAGTGGCTCGGACCTACCTCCTGCTGTGTGAGGAAATCTCCCAGTGGGGCTCTTTTCTGTCTCCTTCACCTCATCTCTCACAGATCCCTGGAGTCCTTACTCCCAAGATTAAACCTGAGTGTGGCTTATTTGCTTAGAAATTCTTTCTGCATGCAGATTCCAGGAGTCTTGCCATTTGGTTGTGTTTCTCTCACCAACTCTTGCTGTGAGCCCAGTCACACCACACTATTAGATCTTCCTCTCCAGAATACTCCTCTTTTGACTTTGCTCTTGTTCTCCAGTTTGTGATTTCCTGCCTATAAAGTCTTCCTCATCCTTCTAGGCCCAACACATACCATTCACGTAGGAACCTCTCCCCATTGTTGGAATTCTTTCACTTTGGTGGCCTTGGACTGTGGTTATCAGTGGATGCACTGCCACCATTTTCTTCTTGAATCAAGTTCAGCAAATATTAACTGAATGACTGAGCAGCCCCAGTGAAATGCCTCCTGCCGAACCTGTGATTGTTCAGCGGTTAGACATGCCCTGCCATTGACCAGGTGTGGTCTTACAGTGGGACCTGGCATGTACACTTAAGCCAAAGGTGATTCCACAGTGGACTGTGAGGACAGTTTTTTGGTTTGTTTTTTTGTGGGTCTCTCCCAGGTATCTGCATTTGCAAGATTATGGTAGACTTTACTGTTGCCTAAGATAATGTAGAATCCTCCCCTTTTTAAACAGATCTTCAAAACAGCACTTTTTTGAGTTGCTTTTGTATATTGTATGGGGACGTTTTTTGGTCAGAGTTTTCATCAACTTATTTTGCTTATGTTCATGAATTTGCAAGTGTCTATTATTTCACACATTATGACCTTATTCTGATTGGTAATATGAATTTCTCCTGAAAATACCCTAGTCAATGAGCTTTGTAATGCTAAGATAGCAGTTTTAACTTTAAGGACCACACACTATCTGATACCATCCACCTCAAGCAATCTTATATTAAAAAGCATCATCAGGTGAGAGCAGTCTGATTTTTTTCCTAGTTCAAGTTTTTTGTTTTAGATGATAAACCATTTTGCCTTTGTGTATGCCTTTAAGGCACTAATAGATACTTCAAATTCAGTGTTAATGCTTTTGAGGTTAAAAGTAAATGTTCTTTTCTTTTTCCCATAAAGCAGACCACTTTTTCCACAGTGTTCCAAGATCAATTACTATAATTTTCAAACTTTTTCAGCCCTGTCCCATTGAAAAGTGCTGTATTTTGTGACTGAATACATAACAATTATATTTGTGAATCATTGAAGAAAGCCTTCACGGAGGAGTTATGCTTACCAGGTTGTACTGTGTTCTTCCTTTAGCCTGGTTGTATCTACCAATGTGTTTCACCCCCAATTTGAAAAATCCTGGCCCATCTGTAGACTGTGAGGTATTCCCAAAGCCTCTCCCATAGTGAGAACCCTGGACTGAGCTGGCAGAAAAAGCTGAGTGCCTTCAAGAGACATGTATTTATTTATTTATTATTATTTTTAAAGATAGTATCTGAAATGTGTGTGTTGGAATGGCTTTCTGTTCTTCTTGATTGAGGTTACTTTTAGTGATGCATGTTTCTAAAGCCACATCCTTCTGGAAGCCTTGCTTTTCCTGTAGGCTGGCAGAGAACAAGAGCATCCACCACACAGAACTACCAAATGTGCATGGCTAAATGGGCATAAATGGCTTTTAGCATCTTGGGCCTTTCACCTCCATGAAGGGGGACACGGAGCTTTGCTCTGATGGAGCTATTTGCCTCTTCTCAAGATGAGGGATGAAGAAGATCCTTTGCAAAAGACATGTTCTCCTGAGGAGTCATCACTGCCAGAAAGCTCTAGAAGTTCTTTAGTTAGGGGGATAAACCAGTCTTCCTAAAGAGTCTCATGACAGGATCGGTACTTTAAGAGTCTCAGTCTTAAGATGGAAGTAAGATGTAGTAGCATTTAGTTCACTTGCTCACGATCAAATTTTGTCCTCAAATTACTTTTTTTTTTTTTTTTGTAGAAAATAAATTAAAAATAGAAGATCCAGTTCTAAATGCTTTGTCACATACATCCTTCCATACTGTTTGTGATAGGCATGCACATGGGTATACATTAAAAAAGAAAAGCTTTTAAAAACCAGCTGACATATACTAAAAACAGATATAAAAAATGTTGAGACTCTTTTGTGTTAGAACAAGTTTATTTCTACCATCATTGTTAATGCTGGATATAATTCCGTAGTATGTATGTATATAACGGATGTATTAAAGTTTAACCAGTCCCCTATTGTTAGATATTTGGGGTGGTTTCCAGTTTTTAGCTATTATAAATAAGGCTACAATAAACACTTCTTATACATGTCACTATAAAATTTTAAGTTTTTTTAAAATGAAATACAAATTTCAAGTATACTTAGCCTCTTTTTAAGTAGTTACTCTATTAAGAATCTTTTCAGTGGTTTATTTTAAAGAATTTTTACTTTTCTAAGTAGTACTTTGCTTCTGTAGTGTGAAATAAATATAATGTGAGATAAAAATTTGACTTCCTTCAAACTGATTCTAGTTCTTGCCTTAATTTTCAGACAGTACCTGTAACGAAAAACAGTAAAGAAAACAGACTAAGAGGAAGCAAAGCGTTCTGCGCGGTGGGTTTCTGATTCAGTGTAGTGACCTATTCAATGAATGACCTATTCATTCCTGAGTTTCCTAAGGGGTATGTGGCTATCCTAGGTTGTTATACTAGGTTAGGAGAGGTCTTTGTAGAGTAAAATTTTTTTTCGAATTGGCTTTTGACTTCAAAAGTGATTCTGGCATAAACTGGACATGGTGGCACATGTTTGTAATCCCAGCAACTTGGGAGGCTGAGACAGGAGGATAACAAGTTCAAGGCCTGCCTTGGCAAATTGATGAGACCCTGTCTGAAAATAAGAAATGAAAATGACTGGGGATGTAGCTCAGTGGACAAGTGTTCTTGAATTCAATCCCCAGCAAATCCTCACCCCCACCCCAAATAAAAGTGATACTGACATAAATTAAATGTGCACACACATGTATATGTATGTACTATTTTTATAATGAACATTTAATAATCACATTACAAAAAAGTTATAGTAAAGGATGGAAAAAATAAGTAACTGTAATCCTTCCATTCTAGTGTAACTCCTATGATTTGTTTTCGAAAGTACTTTAAGTGATAAGCAGGTATTTCAAAACCAGTGTCTTTGTCTAAGGGTAAAGTTGAGTTTATCAAAGGGCCAAGTTAAAAACAACCTTTGCATCGGATCATTATTAGAATCATAATTTTCTTGTGATTGATTAATTCTAGTATAGTTCAGGTAATTAGGGAAAGGAATTGCTAAGCAGGGCATATTCAGACACCATGTTAACATACAAATGCAAATTGTAAAATGCCATAATTCTGAAATGGATCCTTGGCACTACCTTCCATTTTATAAGTCCTACTGTCAGAAGGTGGGCATTTCAGAGTGACTTGACTTTGATCCAGGGACCTCTGAGTGTCTTCAATGTGATTAAAACACTTAAGTCAAGTTATTTTTGATGAAAATTTATTTTTGTTGAAAATTTAGCATGCTTGTACATATACATATGCATACTGTGCAAAAATGCCAATATAACTTTATAAGAAGTATATTTTGTATCCTGAGTGGTTGTAGTACACCATTGTATCTGGATGAGAGATGATCACAAAATTGGCATAGTTTATCTTGTGCACTTGTGCCCAGAACCCATCTCATTAGTAATAGGGGACCCTACTTTTTTCATCTTTCTTTTTTATACCCTGTACCAGTGACTGATACTTCTCCTTGTAGGCTGAGAACTTCTTTCTTTGGTTATTGGAATGAATGGTAAAAGCAGAGAAGATCTATGTAAAGGAATAAAGATATAATTGAAGCACTGGGCATGGTGTATGCCAGCTGCTTGGGAGGCTGAGGCAGGGAGGATTGCAAATTCCAGGCCAGCCTGGAAAACTTAACTATCTCATAAAAATTGAAAAGAGCTAGGGATGTAGCTCAGTGATAGAATGCCTTGGGTTCAATAGCCAGTACTACACCCCCCCCCCCACCAAAAAAAAAAAAATAAAGTAATTAAAGGATGTGGAGTCGGAAGGTCTGTGCTTGAATCTGGATGCACTGTCTTCCAGGGCTGTGTCACAGGGGTGATCTATCTCACTTTACAGCAAGGCTGTTGTGAGGATAGAATGCAGTGTCTTAGGTGAATGGCTTTATTTTTATGAACCTGAAAGCCGAGTTATGTGCTCATGCCAATACTCTTGGAGCTGAATGGGAAGAAAACTCTTAATAGGGCACGTGCAGTAAAGCTCTTATGCAGGAACAAGTGTATGCTAACCCTGGCTCTTCCTTTTCCTTTCAGTCTTCAAGCAGTGACAGTGGTGGGAGCAGCAGCAGCAGTAGCAGCATCAACAGCCCTGACAGGGCCAGCGGGCCAGAGGGCAGCCTAAGCCAGGTCATGCCCGGATCCAGCCCCAATACCCCTCAGCCCATGCCTGAGCAGTCTGCACTGTGCCAAGGCCCTTATTTCCACATCAACCAGACCCTGAAGGAGGCCCACTTTCACAGCCTACAGCACCGAGGACGGCCTCCGACATGATGCGTGGGCAGTTTCTTGCCTTCTGTGAAGGGACAGCGCTGTGCAGATTTGATATTTCAACTTACAATTTGTTTAAAAAAAAATTGCACACAAAAAATGCCTGTTGGCTTTTCAGTCTATATTTGAAATAACAGGTTAACAGGCAATTGTTTACTTGTGGTTTTGCTGCACTATTGCAATTTCAAAGGGGCTTTGAAGCAATTTTTTTATAGGATTCTTTTGAGGGAGGGTATCAAATCCATGTCAAGGAAGTGGTGTGAGGAAATCTCATCTGTGTGTTGCATCCATAGTGTGTCCAGTTCAGACTGATCTTCAAATCTGTCAATTAGAAGTTCTACTTTATGTAAAGGGCCTTTTAAAAATGCGGGATCTTCAATTTTTTAATTCAATAAACTAGTAAAGAGTATCTAGTTTCCATGAAAAAACACAAGGGTATTTTTTTTTTTTCCCCAAAATATAGTAAGCTTGATTCAGTCTTGCACTGAAATTAACTGCCATACTACCTCTTAGTATGTACATGTTCTGTGGAAAGTACTCTGTTGTAACAGGAGAATAATCGGATCCATCCAGTTTAGATTGTGGAAGTGAAGCACCCTCCCTAGTAATTGTCTCCTCTCTGTTATATATTTGTATTTCTAGGGAGGATGTCCTTGTGTACCCAGGTTAACTCTGTACCAATATTCCTTTCAGAGTCTGCACCCCAGACTCTACTGCACAGTTCCAAAAGTCAAGGAGTAGTAATGACTGTCTTACTCACAAACTTGTATCAGAAGCTTATGTGATCTCACTGAAAATTCCCCCTGCAGTGGAGAAAATTAAGCACATACAAGTACTGAAGAAACATAAGCTGCCCGAACTGATACCTGAAGTAACAAGGACTGTCAAAGTATTGGACAAGGATTTACTTTTGCTTGAAGTCACCCCTAATATGACAGGGGGTCTCATTCCATCACTTAAACTGGAAAGATTGGTGTGGATTTGAAACAAATGAGCAGAGGTACCTGTAGGAGAAAGAATGCAGCAGTATTTATTTAGAATAGAAGTGTTCCCGATTACTTAGTCATACTAGCGAGCCAGCCAAGTTTGAATAATGAAGATGCAGATGAGTCATCTTCCTCGCTGATGAGCTGTCTGAACAAGGAGCCAGGATGCATTGGGTCATCTGCTCTGGAGAGTTCCGGGGGACCAACCTGTCATTGGGATGTAGAGGAAGTGCCTTAGAGTCCACCGGAAGCCACCTGCCCGCTCCCCTGACACTCCATTCCATTCCGAGGCTACCCAGCATACATAGCAGAGCTGAGAAGCGTGGATGACTCTACCAAGAGGAGTTTGCTGTTTGTCAGGACTGGAAAAGGACACGGGGAACAGCATGGGATTTTATTATGTGACAACTAAAATTTGAGAATGAAGATTGTCCTAGGGAAATAACAAACACATACCTCCTTTCCATGGGTGTTCCTTTAGTAGGGACAGACTTTAGAGGCCAGCTGTGTGCTGTGGAAACTGTAGTGTTATAGAGGATGTTATAGCACAGGCCATGCTTATGGGGCACGGGGTTTTGGCAAGAAGTTTTGTTTTTTTTTTAACTACTTCTCTCAGATTTTAAAAACCAAATGTTTGACAAGGATTTTAATGGCAGGGAATATGCAAAGGACACATTGCTAATGTTTTGTCTAACAATAAAGCAAACAACAACTAAATGCTGTGAGAAGTCAGGCTGTTCGAGCTCTCAAACACGCATACACAACAAAATTCAGAAATACCCAGGAGGACTCCTGCAGGCTTAATGGAGGCATCCTACTGAAACAAAATGTATATTAACAAGAAAATGTAAAACTTGAGGAAGCAAGCTTTTGTTTATTTTCCACCCAACTAAAAGAATGGAAGATTAAACCATCACCAGAACAAAAGGACTTTCTCCAAGTACAATCACAGTGGCAGGTTGGCAATTAACTCGTACTCTACTAAATGCAAGGAACCATCTCCATCCTGTCTACATTTTCTACAGCCTTGCAGCTTGGGATCCATTTATATTATGATGCTACTTGGTAGTGTCAGTGGGCATCTTTAAAACCTATTAGCTCAAACCCGTACAACCTTGTATTTCTTGTGCCGCCATTAAAAGCAGCATTCGTGCATTTTGTCATTCAGTTATCAGTTTTTTCAAAGGGAGCAGATCGGGTGGCTTGGGAGATGGGACAGTCGACAGGGAAGACCCTTTTGCTCTTGGCACTAACCTGGGTTTTTGTTTCAGTGCTTCTGCTGGTTGATTTAGCCTTCCGAGTGCTTGTCATGCTCAGTGGAAGAAGTCCAAACCTGTAAGACGAGCAGAAAGAATTTCAGTGGCATGAAAAGGCAGCTTGGGGCCCAGCAAAGTCTCAAAATTGTTTACCTGATCTGACTTGATGCCAGTGGCAGAATGTTGTGGGGCTCCTGGGAGTTGAATGTGCCACTCCGGGGGGTGAACTGATTATCAGTGCCGGTAACCAAACCAAACAGAACCTGACAAAAGGACCACAGTAAAATGTGGGGCTTTGGCTGTCCAGATGGGAGAGGATGACCTCTGGGGACTGTTCTTTTCAGTGTGTTAATGCTTCAAATTACTTTTTATCACTGCCATCGATCAGAATCTCCTGGCAACAGTTTTTTTATTCCTCTTTCTGAGGCTTGGGTTTTTAATAATTTGTTATTACAAATAAAGGGATCACGATCATGGTACCCCAGTGTGTGGGATTTTATCTAACCCTCTTTTAGCCCTTATAACTGCACTCAGGTGTTTGTGTCTTGCCTCTTCCTAAGATTGCGTTCTGGAGTATTAAGTAAGGTAGAAGGTTGATTCTGCAGTTGGAGCCTGTGGCACTTATTTTGCACTGAGGCATCTGTGACCTGACTTACAGAAGTCCGCTGCACCAGGTGGTTAAGGTTGCTGTTGAAGTGTGGCGTGAAAACATCCAGGTCAAATGGATCGATGAGTGCCTCCAGATGGTCAGTCACTTTCTCAATCCTGAGAGGATTAAGACCATTATTTTCCACAAATTTTGAGGACAAGAAAACTGTCTTACTATATTTTATAGGTATGAAACCATGAAGTGGTTTTTGTTCAACTGAATTGCTGATAGGTACTTGTGTTATGGATGATCAACCTGCTGTGATGAAGTCAAGTCTGCGTCTTGTCCATGTTGTGTTTTTAGGAGGACCATTAAGAGCTCAAATTATACCCACCATTTGTGAGGTGGACTCAGTAATCAGGTTCCACCTGGTTCTCTTGACTACGGAATTTACCAGCAGGCAGCCATTATCTGACTTGCTGGCAACACAAGCACTCACTGATAAAGGCAAACCTTGAGGAGAATCCTGGAAGGAGCTACAGATGCCCCTTGACTACGGTGGGGCCACATCCCAAAAAACCCACCATGAGCTGAAGTATACATAAATTCACAGCTGAACATCATGGACCAGCAACACAGAATGTGGCACTGTGGGGGAGGGTCACATGTCGTGGCCAGGGAGAGATCCAAATTCAAACTCTGAACTGCAGTTTCCACTGAATGCTTATTGCTTACCCACCACTGTAAAGTCAAAAAACCCCAAGACAGACCCTTGGAAGTGGGCAGTACTGGTACTTGCACTGCAAGAAGACTGCCTCAGGGAGCCCAGGGAGGGTATAACACCTGGAGTCTGGTTTGTTGCGGCCACTCTTCGCCTCCTCACTCTTGGCTGTCAGAACGATGCTGAGGTAGCGCAGGTCATAGAGGAGCTGCAGTGCCCGGTTCTGGGTTACTGGGAATGCACCTTCTCTCTGCAAGTGAATTCCCACCCTGTTGAGAAGTGGCTCCTGTGGCACAGTGACCACCTGTGTGTTGTGAGTGGCCTCAGCGTGGTATGTCAGAAGCAGAGGCTGTACCCACTCGGGGCCAGTTTAATCTCACAACAGCATATTATGTTAAAAATTTCATCTTAAAGCCAAACGTGAAAAGTGCCAGCCCTAAAGGTCTCAGTGCTGTCGATGGGTTACTACAAAGGAACACGGCTTCCTGCACAAGGAGGTGGATGTGTGGGAGCCCAGGGACTTAACCAAATTCCTCCCAAACAAGGACTGTTACCTCTCAAAAATGTTGTGAATGGAATGGAATGGAACCTCATGCAAAGCAAGAGGGCGTGGAGACCCCCTTCAGTGAGCACTGCCATGTGCACAAGCTGTGCTTGTACCTGCCTCCCTCACAGTCACTGCCCTGCTCTGCTCTGGTGGGCACAGTGTGGGGTGTGCTCCATTTTATGGGTGAAGAAACCAGTTGAGCCGGTCAGCTACTGGTCACGTTTGATGCTAAGGAAACAGGTTAATGATTGGCCCAAAGCTTGCCTGGTAAGAACTGGCAGTGCCAGGGTTGGAAGCTGGGCCTTTGATCCCGTGATGGCTCTTATCCTTTTGTCACCTGCCTTCTCCATGAAGACCTGTTTGACCCTTGAGTGTGGGTGGAAAATGGCAGAGCTGGAAGCCACTCCAAACCTATTAGTGCATATTTATGAAACCAGATGCCTGGGGTAGGTACTAAACACTTTGGACCCTGATGTGAACTGCTCAAGCCTAAAATCAGCTAAGGGTTTTAGTTTTTATTGGGAAAATACTCAGGCCCCTACCTTAATCTGCTTTTCTTCAGAAAGTTCCTCATAGGCAGCTACCACTTGAAACATGCAGCTTTTCAGCATCTCCTGCAGCGTCACCTTTGGCAAAGCATGACCTCCAACCCGATTAATTTCCTGGCATAAGCTGAACAGGAAGGACTGTACATACCAGGATGGCTGAAAGAACACAGAAATGTCATGTGCCAGCTTGCACCAGTTAAATGACCATTCATAGTAAAAGTGGGTCCATTTATCTTTACAAGGCACACACATGGGGACCGTGCCCTCTCTAATCAAGCATCTTACAAGCAGATCATTTAACAGACACAAAGTCCCTCGTTAAGTACTCCTTTCCATGGCCTGAGGTTGGCCTGGCTGTTGTTCTTTAAATAGCAAAGAGCCCATGCTACAAAAGGAAAGAATCATTTATTGACCTTTTTTTTTAATTGATTTTATTTTTTTAATACACAACCACAGTGGAATGCATTACAATCCTCATTACACGTATTGACCTCTTAAAACACTCTGCTATTGAAGTGGTGCTACATCCACTTTGCCCCCACAGTAAAGTGAACTTTACTTTCAGTTACTCCTCGGAAACTGCAGTGTTGAATGATTTTCTAAAATTGTTTTGCTTCCCCCAAAGCAGTTCTATTCCTTTTTTAGCCCAGGTCCCTGTGATAAATGGCATGTGCTTACCTGTGTAGGAAGTCTGATCTTCGATGTGACGCTGCTGCCAGACTCTGTCTCCTCTTGAATTTCTAATTCATCCCAGTTGGTAGCTGTGGCCAGGACTGAACCGGCATCATCTAAAAGCAATGACTGGGTGAATCCATGAATCAGAACCTGGTGATAAAAAGTGAATGTCCACATAAGTCCTTCAGGGCTTTTGTAGGGTTTGTTTAGAAGTCTCAGCACACTCCTGGGGGTTGGGTGTGGGATGCCAAGTGGCCAGCACCTCTCCCCTTTGGCCAGTGCCATGATCAGCAGTGGGAATGTGGTTGCTGGCCTCCCTACTAATGTCAAATGTCATCTGTAAAAGACCAGTAGAGACTGAAGGAATTATGGCATTTACATGGAAGACCTGGAAATATGGACCTTCACCCAGACAGAAAGCCTTTCATTTCCATCCAATGGAAGGTAAAAATGCAGGGTTTCTGTCTACAAAATCTAGGCTGAAAACAAATGCAAGGTTTTATTGAGCCATATGGCAGAAATAAGGACAAAGTAACTATATGAGATGAGCATCATTATTCCCTTCCTATTGAAGCACCTTCACAGGTCGGCAAGACTAAAGCATGAGAAAGGGAAGGTAAACCAGGTATCCTATGGAGTCCCATCACTCACCTTCACGACCGCTGAGCTCCAGACCCGGTAGCCCATCACACTCTGCTGGAGGAGTACATCTTTAACTTCCTGCCATTTGGCCTGTACAGGAAGGATTTCCTGGGCTTTGCTCTTCCCCTGCTTTTTCAGAGCCCTAGCCTCCCTTGATGGTTTGTCAGAGCTCCTGGACTTTCCCACAATACACTGTTTCAGGTGGGGGCACAGTTCTCCTAGAGACTGGCAGAGTCTGGCCATGAAAAGCACGGCGTGCACCTTGGTGCCTTGGAGCACATCCTGCTGGCCTTGCACAACTTCCTCAATGTTCTGCAGCTCCACCTGGATGCCATCTAGGATGTGCTTGATGCATGCCACCGAGTGCGTCTGCAGCATGGCCTGCACAGTCCCAGCATCTGCATATCTGTCAAAGGCAGAGCTCTTGGTCTGAGTGGGGACAGCATCCTTGGGCAGAGGCACATCATCAGAGGGAAGGTAAGCCAGGAGGTCATCCAATTTAACCTTCAGTTTGGAATCTAGGGCAGAGCAGAAGTTCTGTACATAAGGGCTGATAGCTTGGGCTTTCATTGAGAGGCCACTACTGGCAAACTGACCCCGGTTTGCCACATTAACCCAGGCAGCATCTGGAGGCAGGTCACTGGGACTCTCTGACCAGAGGAAGACAGACATGTTCTGCTCAAAGTGGATGTGCTTATTTGATGTGGAGTTGCTGGTGCTGCTCTCAAGCTCCTGCAAAGCTGAGACCAGGAGTTCTTTGGAGCTCCTGGAGATGGATTCAAAGCCTTCTTTTGTCAGAGTCTAAAAAAGAATGAGAAGAGAATGTGAAGACCCTTCATGTTCTTCACATACATAAGCAGGTTGGTGATTCTGTTTTGGATGTCTTCACAAGATCATTCTTTTCCCTTTTTTTGTGCTACTGGGGAGTGACCCCAGGGGCACTCTCCCACCAAATTACATCAGCCCCCCTTTTGAGATTTCTGATCCCTATTTCTTTAAGGAAATTTCAAAACAAGAGTTACCAAAATCAGAATTTATCCCAGCAATCAGAATGTTCTTCATGTTCAGGAAGCTGACATGGTGTAGCAGAGAATAAAGATGCCAAGACTGATGGACATGGGCTCACTTCTGGCCACCTCACCAGGCCCAAGGCCTGGTGTCTTTTTTAGCTCTAGAACCTGGCTGAGTTAATAAGTAGGGAAAGAAGGCACTTGTGACATAAGACTCCCAAGACAGTCACCAGACCACATTAGAGTTGGCTGTGAAATTATGGCCCATGTGATTTTCCACCTTACCTGTAACCGGTCCAGGAAGAGCTGCTGCATCATGTCCTCCCAGAATAAGAGTGGCCTCTCCAGAAGCCGCTGACACACCACCTCCCAGTTGTGACTGGTGGACTCATTGGTAAGTAACTCCCACATGGCATCTCGGATCCCTGCAAGACCCTTCATGCTCTTCACATACATAAGCAGGTTGGTGATCCCATTTTTGATGTCTTCGTTACACCTGCAACAAGATCATTCTTTTTCCTTTTTGGTGATACTGGGGAGTGACCCCAGGGGCACTCTCCCACCAAGCTACATCAGCCCCCACTTTTGAGAAGGGTCTAAATTGCCCAAGCTGGCTTCAAGCTTGAAATTCTTCTGCCTCGGTTTCCCGAGTAGCTGGGATTACAGGCATGTGCCACTGTGTCCAACAGATCATTTCTGTGTCCCCTGGGCTCATTTTCTTTGGGGTTCTTATATCTTTAATAAGAAAAGCACAAAGATCCCATTTGAAAACCATATCTGTCAATCTATCAATATAGCGCGATTCTGGCTGGACTCGGGTATGGAGACTGGTCTCTCACCAAGCCCACTCTTGCTTCACTGGGGTATGGGAGGAAGTCCGGTGTTCCATGGAATGGCTTCAAAAATCAGTGTGTTAAAAACAAGCTTAGGGGCTGCAGAACTCTTATACTAAGAAATTTAAAAGCCTCTGCATAATATTTTCAAAGACAAATTGTTCCTTGTTTCTCCCCAGGTGAGGTGGTAAGTGGCCATGAAGGCAGGAACAGCCCAAGTGAGCAGTGGCCATGTGGCACATCTCCCTCTCCTCACTGACCCTGTATGGCTATGTCCAAGGATGCCATGGGGTGAGCCAACCTCAGGCCACTCACATGTGGATCCATTTCTGCAGCGTGTCTCTCAGGTACTCCTGGCTGATGGGATGTGCAAGGGTTCGGAGTGCTGGCTGGAACTTGATGACGGATGCTGGCAGGCGTCTGAACCAGCTGCAGAGCTTCATCTCCCCTTTCAGAACACTGATGCCCTTTCCTAGAGAAAAGGCCGCGTGAGAAGCAACCCAGGCCATACTTTGAATAGCATATTAAAAATGGACCTAGAAGAAATTTCCAAAAAATTATTTCGTTTTTCTCTGGGTAGGTCAAACAACCCCTGAAATAGGGAGAAAAAGAAGGTATAGCATGCATCCAGACCTTCCCTCATCAAGGGGTGTGGCAGCTTCCCTAAACTCTATTGGTTGAAAAGAATGGCAAAGGTCAGGAAGGGAAGGAATCAGGTAGAAAGAGCAGAGGGGAAAAAATGAGTGCTGAGCAGTCCTTATCTTTGGGTTTTTTCCCTTGAGATGAGGTCTCATTATATCGCTCGGGCTGGCCTTAAACCCTGGACCCCAGAGGTCTTCCGGCTTCAGCCTCCTACACACCTGGGATTAGAGGTGTATGCCACCATGCCTGGCAGTCCTTGACATTTTAAAAAGTAGAACTTAAGTTTTCATGAAAGTATAAGCTGGTTATTTCCCTTTCCTCCTCCTCCTCCTCCTGCTTCCCTTGAGGATCTAAGTGGAGAAGTGCTGACCGCCCACCTTGATGAGTGAGTCACCTGCAGCTCTGCAGAGGCCTGTGCTGTACAGTGCTGGGAGGTGCTGCTCACTGATTTTGTACACAAGGCCCTTCTGCAGTCCCTTGTACTTCTGTTTTCCAATGTCATAACAGATTAGCCGATACTCACCTTTAGTGACTATTAAAATATTGAATGTAAGCAGCTGGAGGGACACCAAGGCATGAGAAGTGGTGCCTTTACTGAGAGGAAAAGTTACTCAAAGACGGCCCCATATGACACTCCTGTCCCCCTCTGGAAATGACCAGCTGGCCATAATACTCCATTCCACCTTTGTCTCTATTTCCTCAGTCTATTTTGCTGACACCTCCATCTGATCTTGGAGTCCTAGAGTTCCATGAGGGACCATCTTCCATCATTTTCTTTGCTTACTGATGGTGGCATCCATTCTCATGGCTTAAAATAACTGCCACAGGCAGAAGCACTGCATGTAGTGTCCACCTAGCCCTTGCACTGCTATGTTCTGAGACCAATCACCCTCTTATCCCCTAGTTCCATTCCAAGGTCTCAGTTGTCTCCAAGGTGATTTTCATGTGAACTATCACCAGTCCCTTCAAACCAGTTCCTTTGGATACCTCCTTTCCCACACCCTATACATCACCAAATCCCTCCTCAACAGATATCTGAGCTGTCCAATGAGTTCCATCTCTATGCTCCCTCCTAACCCAAGCTCCAGTGGCTGAACCCTAGACCACAGTGATAGCCTTCTAAGTGAGTTCAGCATCCCTTACCCCATGGGACTCTACTACTAACTACATAAAAGCCAATGCATTTATTTAATTACAGTTGGGACAAATGCTAACCAAAGATGTAAGGGATATGTGGGAAATAGAAGGACCACACCAAGCTTGGAAAGTCTCTGAAGGCTAGCCACTATTCTCTGGTTAGAGTCCAAACTCAAGCTTGGCCCATAAGGCTTAGCATTACCTGGCCCCACTTCCTTCTCCTGCTATCTTCCTTGTCACCCACTAAACCTCAGCCTCACTGGCTTTCTTTAGTTCCTCAATACACTAACATCCTCCTTGCCTCAGGACTCTGCACACCCTGTCCCTTTGCCCAGAACTCTCTTCCTGCGGTCTTCACCTAAATAACTCTAATTCAACCTTCAGCTTTGAGTTTAAAGACCATTTCACCTGGGAGGCCATCTCTGAACTTGGTGAGTTCCTTCCATTCAGTGTTCCCAAGGCATCTTGTACTGTGCATTAACAGCACTGACCAGTGTTGACTCACACTTCTGAGTTCAGTACTTGCCTTACTAGACTGTGACCTCCATAAAGGGAGAGTCCATATTTGTCCAGTTTACTGTGCTATCCCTAGAGTTTTAGCACATGGCTGGGTAGTTGAATGGACCAGGAAAAACGGCTGGTTACGAGCTCACCAGTAGGGTGCTGGCCTGTGATGGTCTCCAGAGTAGAGAAGAGCAAGCCACACGGCAGGGATGGATCTGGCAGCAGACCTTCTGGCAAAGTGTAGAAAAGGGCATGAGCCTGGTTCAAAGTGGTGGCCAGCAACTCCACTAAAGAGCAAATCTGGGCCTTGATGCCAGCACCTATGAGAAGATGTCATCTTTTAAACAGTTTTCTTTTAGTAAAGAACAGATCAGGGCTGGGGGTATAGCTCAGTGGTAGAGTGCTGGCCAAGCACATGTGAGGCACTGAGTTCAATCCTCCACACCACATCAAAATAAATAAATAAAGGTATTGTGCTCATCTACATCTAAAAAAAAAGAAATTAAAAAAACAAAAACAAAAACCAGATCACTCTGGATACCTCAGTTTCCCTGAGCTCACCCTTCTCCACCCCATGCTTAAGGAACAAACTTTGGAAAGAAGCCACACCCACCATGGTGTGGCTGGTTGAGAAGTTTCTGAATAGTTGTCTTTCTGGCCAACAGGAAGTCGGTGAGGGCTTGGCGGGGAGAACTCTCTTCTAAGAGCATTATAGAGCAGAGGGCCTCAGCTATAGCTTGGTCAGACACAGCTTGGCATTTGAGTAGCATCTTGCTTTCGTGCAGAATGGTTGATCTAACAAGATGACAAAGGTCAACATGGAAATTTTTACCATCTTGAATGAAAAGCCATGGAAAGAAAGAAGACAGATCCCATAAAACTGTAGTGATGAGGCCTGGCCATCACAGAGATCTTTATGTCAGATCCACTTACCGGAAGTGGCTGGCTGCTGCTACCTGCCGGATGAGTATAGGAAATCGGGAAAGGATGGGGTTGTATCGGGAACTAGAAGAATCCAGCTGGAGCAGACTGTGAAGGTGGCAGCAGAGCAGGTAGAGCTGTGTGGCATGGAGATACTGAGAGGCTTCCATGAAGCTCCAGATCTTCTCAGGGATTTCTAAGAGTAGTTTGATCTGGGCAGCCATGCTGTAGAACTTCTCCTGGGATGGTGGCTGTGGCTGTAGGAAAGGGCAGAATAAAGTCAGAAGAGCAAACAAAAGCGAGGTCAGTGTCCTGCACTTGGGGAGTTTTAGGACTTAAAGCTTTCTTTAAGTTGAACTCAGTGCTATTCAGAAGGCATCAGGTCTGATGAAAACCTTTATCTCGCCCTCTGATTATCAGTGATTCTCTTGACTTCTTGAAATCAGGGAGGGGGGCGGCGGTGGTGGTGTAACAATAGGTGAGCTTCCTCCTTCCTTCCCTTGTGCCCAGCCTTCCTACTGTTTTTCCTGCTTCTGTGAAGGGCACTATGCGCTTGGCTGACTGCTCTTTTTCACCAACCCTGCACCAAATATTTGTCTGCTTCAGTCTTCAGTCCTCTCCTCTTCCCATCTACCTGCTCACTTCAAGCATCCCCCATGAAGGGACTGGTGGCCTATAAAATTAGCCTAGCCCCTTTTAAACTCTTGTGCTTTCTGCCATGTGACGGTGCAGCAGGAGGATCCTCACCACACATCAAATGCCATCATCTTGACTTTGGACTTCCCAGGCCCTAGAACTGTGAGAAAAGTATGTCATCATGAATTACCCAATCCCAAGTATGTTGTTAATAGCAGCATACTGGACTAGACAGCCACACTGCAAATCTCATCTGTCCTTAAGAATCCTCAGTAAGGCACTGAGAAGCCTACAGTTACTTCCTTCAGAACTGTTAAAGTAAATGGACACAATTATTTTGGGAATTAGTCACCTTTACCTTAAAATGTTTTCAACTGCTCTTCTAAATTATTTACATTTTTCCTGACAACTTTCCATGGCTTTATTTCCTTGCCTAGAATGTAAGCTTCTTCAGAGCAGGAATTGGGTGAAGTGAACAGAGAAGGTTCTCAAATTTTGTGTTTGACCAAGAATAAATTAGATGTAACTATGAAAATCAATACATTTCCAAAATCAGGCATAATACCAGTTAGCCTTTTAATAAGCCTGGAAACACGCCTCAGTCACAGCCAAGTCTGGCTATTTGTGTGTGGAGGGGGCACAGCTTAGGGAGGGGTGGGGTCACTGATTTAAAAAGCACAAGGGCTTTCCAACCTTCCGTGTATTGTTCTAGAGTGATACCCCAGTCTGCTGGCCTGGATTTCTCTGGAACCCAGAGAACACGATAAAGTTTCAAACGGGAGCTGACTGTACTTTGGCGTGTCTTCTTCCATGTTGCAGGAAGCCTCTCCCAGGTTATGACAGAGTTCCCTGTTAACCTGTTCTACCCTCTATGCTCTTCTGCTTGGTTCATCCCTAGGTCGCCCTCCTTTAAGGAGGCAAGCTGCTGCTGCTCAGGATGTCCACCGCCCGTCCTTCCACATGGGGTGCGAACATTGGCGTGGGGGACGAAGTCAGGATGGCCTAATCGAGCCTGCGCTCCCTGGGATGAAAACGTTCGCGCTGGGCGGCCCTCCAACCCCGCAAGGCTGGGGCAGCTCTTCGGCCCTGGGGAAGGTGCTGGGGGCGGGACGCGGGGAGAGGCATCTGCTCCCTGAAACCCGGCGTCCGGAGGCGGGGTGCGCGGCGGAGCCCAGCCGTCGGGAGACCCCTTGCGTCCCTGGGAGACCGAGCGAGCGCGGCGAGGACTCACGGCCCCAGCGAGCGCCCCGGCCGGCGGCTCCGGGAAGGTGAGGGCGCGGGGGGCGGGCGCACCTGCGGGGCGCGCGGGGGCCGCGGCCAGCCGGCCTGGCGCAGGCGGGCGCAGTACTGGTCGGTGGCCTTCACCGCGTCCACCAGCCCCTCAGCGCAGCGCCGCATCTGCCCGATGGTGTCGGCCGCCTCGATCAGGTCGCGGTACCGCTCTCCCACCATCTGTCGCAGCTCCTCCTTCTTGTGCTCGATCTCGGCCCGAACCTGGCGCTCCAGCCCGCGGATCTCCTCAGCTCCATGAGTCTCGAAAAGCGCCGCGGGGTCGCGCAGATCCAGTCGCTTCAACGCCGGGGAGGCGGCCGCAGCCGCCATGGTGCACGGGTCAGCCGGCCGACGGCCGCTTCCGCTGCCAGCCCCGCCCCGCCGCCATCTTTGATAGGGGCGGCCGCGCTTCCGCTCCGCCGGGAGCCATGTTTGTTCCGGGCTTCCGGGGCTGAAGGGCGGGAGGGCGGGCGCGGCGGAGGGGTGCCGGCCCTCTGCGTTTTCTCGGGAGGTCTGGGCTGTTGAGCGGGTGTCGGGGGTCGCCCGGGTGCCAGCTGGTCAGAGCCTTACGGCGATCTGGGATCTTTCGTCCTTGGAGAAGAGCTTTGCGGTCGAGTTAGTTAATAAGCTCGAGATAACGTAATTAATGTAATTATCGTAATTAAAGGCGGCCTGACGGCGACGCCTCGGCGCTCGCCTCTGCAGGGCGGTCGCAGCGCCGGGGCCGGTTCTCGCGTCCTGCGACCGCGCACCTCCTTCCCCGCGGCGGGCTGGGGCGCGCGGGGCGGCGGGCCCGACCTGGCCGGTCCCCTCCAGGGCAGCCGAGGAAGAGCAGAGCCGCCCCTGCTCGTGGGGATGCTCGGCCTCAGAGAAGGCCTGCAGGGCGGCCTGGTGCCGTCGGGCGTCCGCGGGCCCCTGTCACGGGGGCTTCTGGCCGTCCGTGTGTAGCCCCCAGAGGTGTGTCCGCCGCAGCCCCCCGCAGGGAAGGAGGGCCGTGGGCCGAAGACTGCACTGCCTGCCGAGGGATGCGGTGAGGACCCTAGTGCTGACCCAGGTCGATGGAACAGGAGGCCGTTGGTCACCTTCTCCCAAGCCAGAGTTTATCCTGGAGATTTCGTGGTCACGAGAAGAGGTGCCCACTACAGTGTCTGTCTCATGGTCAGGGCATCTACAGCCCTCCCAATTTCCTCTCCCACCCACCACTTCCGTTATTTTGAGGTAAATCCCAGACATCAAAAATCAGTAAGTAATAAGGTTGTGATATTCTAGTGTCCCTCACCGGACCCCTGCCACGTGGGGAGTGGCATTCTCACCTTACAGATGGTTAACCCAAGGCTGAGAGGCAAAGGGACTTACGCAATACTGTTCTCAAAGCCTGTCCTCCGAATCATCTAATTTTATATACACATCAGCTCTGCAATATAGGTAGAAAAATATTCCTATTCTTTGCATCACTAAAACCCAGAGAAGTTTATTTACCTGCGCAGGCCACATAGTTTGTAAGTGACAAGTCAACACTTCTGTCTACATTTTTTGGCTCTTAAGCTTTTTTACTTTCCCAATTTGCCCGAAACCTAGAATGCCCTCTGGTGGTGGGGCTGTGTTTCTGTAATCCCAGTCTGGAGGCGCAAATGACCTTACTCTGCTGGCCAGCATCTGCCAAATCTCTTTTTTGTGACTAGGGGATTCATGTCTGCCTGGCAAGGTCTTTTCCCAGAACTCCTTATGGCTGTGGTGCAAGAATGTGCCTGGGACTTTGATGTCAAAGGCAAGGAGGAGGGTGGCAATTTCATTCTGCTGATTGGTGCTGGTATTCTGCTGCAGTCTGGCTGGGCACAATCAGGAGCCACTTGTCACGTGGGCAGAGCCAAAAAAGTCCCCCAATGAGCAGCTCCGAGGTCTGAAAGGGCAGGGAAACAGCCCAATGAGCATCACTGCAGAGGAGCCAATCAGCTAGATGTTGCTGGGGCCGCTGTGAGCCAATCATCAGCTGGCAGCTGGAAGTTTGCTGGGGCCCCTTCAGCTGTGGCTCTCAACATCTCCCCCTCTCTGTTTAAACAAAAAGCACGTGGCTTAGGGACCGTGCCTGCCTTAGGTTGTCCAATAGTACATATGGTCCTTACCCGTTAGGTTGGTACCATTGCAATTGGATCTTACCCATCATTGACTACCGGTCCAGTATACAGCCACACCTGTGGAGAGGTCTTTGTACCAGCGGGGGGGTGAGGTTCTTTGCCTCACCTCTGTTGGCCCCCAAATTTTAGCTGGACGATCATGACAAGCAGAAGGGAGGAAGATACACCAGGCCAATTGACGGCTCCTTTTGGAAAAATTGTACCACCAATGACATCATCAGCAAAAATACCCCAACACTACCACAAGTCGCTGCACCAACAGATAGTTCACAATGCATACAGGTGAGTTCACAATGTGTCCAGGCAAGTTCTGCAAGCAGTTCAGTGATGGCTATTGTAGAAGCTGTAGATTGGTTTTATCTTTGACTTCACCAGCACTGGGATGAAGATAGGAATTCTGGCAATAATGGCTAAAGAAAAAATTATGTAACATTACAGAAGGCACTAAAAGAAAACAATTTTCTTAACAATTTACATTGTCTTCAAGAGAATTATTAAATATAATGAAAAGGAAAGGTGAAAGTAAACAAACAGATCTGCTAACCTTTTTTGTTTACATATTAAAACAATCCTCAACAGTCGTTTACCCAATTTAAATTAAACCATATAAATCACGTGAAAAAAAAATTTGGATCCATTTTATCATGAGCGCTCATCATATATGATATATGGACATACGTACATTCAAACATATAACACAAAACACAAGTGTGCACACATAATACATACAACACATAACATTATAGTAAAGGCCTTATAACTTTTTACAGGTGAAATCTCCATTGCAATGTTTAAAAACTCTATAGTCAAAAAATAGAACTGATCAGCAAAACATTAACCTAGGTCTGTATGAGCTCAAAAAACAAAATAGAACTTCATGATATGGCAAAGGGCAATAATAAAATAGATATTGAAAAAAGCATCCTGGTACTGTTGCAGATGTAAGAATAGCCAAACTGGAGTTCTGGATATCAGTTGTTATGGATTTGAGCCAAATCATCTTCTTTTTGGTCTGTAGAAATCGCTCTAGTTAGTCTCTCTGGAATCCAAATTGGCTGCTGTTCTCCCTGTGGAAACACACAAACAGACCCCCGACTCCAGACAATCACTGGGTCAGGACCTTAGTTAATCTCTCTGGAATCCAAATCAGCTGCTGTTCTCCGTCTACGGCATCGTGGGCAAATACCTGGTATTCTACTCCTTTGATACCTATTTTTGTTAAACCCTCCTCCTATGGGACAATTCCTTTTAAAATGTCCTGTTTGTTCACAATTGTAGCATGTTTTTGGCCTGGCATCTAAAGCCTGTTTTACTGCAGCTGCCACGACTTGCTCTTGTTCATTAATGTCTCTGGCATCTAAAGCCTGTTTTACTGCAGCTGCCACAACTTGCTCTTGTTCATTAATGTCTCTACATAATTTAATATATGTGTTTAAATCTTCATGTTTCCATGGTCTAATGATATCTCTGCACCAACGATTCGCTTGCTCATAAGCCAGGTGTTTTAGTAATGGCATTGCTTGTTCTGTATTCCCAAAAACTCTGGTAGCTGTTTGAATAAGCCTATCTACAAATTCAGCATAAGGTTCATTAGCTCCTTGTATTACCTTAGATAATTGACCTTGTAAACCTCCATGTCCTTGTAAAGTCTTCCATGCCTTAATTGCATCTACAGCAATTTGTGCATATACACCAGGATCATATGCAATTTGTTGCTGCTGATCCTCATAAGGTCCCTTTCCTAACAACATATCTAGATTTCTCTGAGGATAACCAGCTGCTGCATTTCGCCTAGCCGTCTCCGTGCAAAATTCCTCATTGGCAACCTTCCATAACAGGTATTGTCCTCCATTTAGCACAGCTTTACACATATTAGCCCAATCTGCTGGTGTCATGTTCAAGTTGGTAATGGATTCGACCATGCTTACAGTGAAGGGTGCTTGAGGACCATAGGTTGTTACAGCCTCTTTTAGCTGCTTCACTCTTTTGAAATCTAAAACATGGTGAATTCGCTGCCCTCCTGCTTGTTCAAATACAGAGCATGCTGATCTTTGAGGTCCTGTCTCAGGATCCCATCTATCAACTACGGGGGTTGGGGGCCTCCCAGCATATGGAGGTGGCGCTGTTGGTTGGACACTTACGCCCTCTGGTGATAGAAAGGTGTTAGTAGCAGCCTCCTGTTGTAACTTCTCCCCTGATGGCTTTTTCTGCTCTAAACTTTCTTCCTCTGTCTGACTAGCTCGAGAGACCTTCTCTTTTACTTGAATATTTCTACTATAACTATAATACAACCCAACAAGAAGACGCCAAACAAAGCTGAGACAGAATGAAACAAAAATGGAACCACACAAAATCATTATAATAGCCTTTCTATCCTCCTGAAATGCCCATCCGTCCTTTCTCCCTATCTGTTCCTCAGACGTGAGCGGTTTTTCTTCCGTCTCACCCATCTCCAGGGACAGGCAACTTAAAACAAAAGTGAAGCAAAACCAAAGAAGAATCTTAAAATGGCTCCCCATCCTCTTGCCCTGCCCTCAGGGGCGAGCAGTTTACCTTCTCACTTACCCTCAGTCGTTCCCGGTGCGGCCCACCAAATGCCGCAGTCTGGCTGGGCACAATCAGGAGCCACTTGTCAAAAGAAACTAACTTTATTTTTAGAACCACACACGCCAAACAAAACAGCCTCTCAGGAAAAACCCTCAGAGCCTCAACTGCCACCGCCGGCTTCCCACAAGCCTCTCTCTCCCACACAAGCTTCTCCCCACCTCCCACAATCCTCCTGCTCTTGAGGCCGATTGGCTGGGTCACGTGGGCGGAGCCAAAAAAGTCCCCCAATGAGCAGCTCCGAGGTCTGAAAGGGCAGGGAAACAGCCCAATGAGCATCACCGCAGAGGAGCCAATCAGCTAGATGTTGCTGGGGCCGCTGTGAGCCAATCATCAGCCGGCAGCTGGAAGTTTGCTGGGGCCCCTTCGGCTGTGGCTCTTAACAGTATTCTCTGTAGCATCCCCTCCCCAGCAGCAGCTCCCAAGTGCCAAATGTTGGAGACAGGTGTGGGTATCCACAAAGATGTCCTCCCCAGAATCATCCTGTGCTATGCTTTGATTGGGCTCTAAATCAAAGAATATCCCTTTGTTCCTACCTGTCCTCTTAACTGGTTCCCCAACATTCCCAGAATTTCCATGAGCTGTCCAATGTCTTGTGGATAAACTTCATTTCTTTAAAAATCAAAACTGTTGTG